TAGGTACATTTCTTAAACGAATCATAGTTTTATATATAGTGCACTTTTAAATTCTCATAAGAAGAACTGTAGCTGATTGTAGAGATAATTAATGATTTGGAACACTTCTGGTGTATAAATAAATGTTTTCGAATATAAAGACATAAACAAAACAAGCGTATTAAACATAACGAAATAAATCCTTATTTGACATCAGCTGTATTGAGTCAGGAGTCAGTTTTAGTTCTTCGAAAACATTTGGAGAAAAAATTTCTCATTTTTTATTTTCAATTAAAGAAATTCCATTTGTAAAAGCAATTAAGATTAATTTTACTAAATTTTATCTGCGAAAAATATTTAATTCGACGTATCGGAAATTTCGAAATATTGAGGTTAAAATAATTAAAATTATAAAACATCAATCATTTGTTGAGGCACTGTTAGCTTAACAGATACTGTTTTCTATATTTTTGTCATTTATGAGAAAAACTACAGTGGATGAAAGCATTGTCGGGTAATAAATTAAAACTTTTAATTTTAAACAAAACGAATGTAATTAACACAACTCAAAAAATAATTATTTGACTACAGTTTCGTATATGGCCTCAGCTTATTGTGGAGATTAAATAAAGATTTCAAATATCAGATATTTTGAGTTAAATAAATTCGACTTATGAGAAAAATGTTAGCGTTAATTTTTAATATATTTCATCTGTGGGAAACATTTGTTTCAACAAAAATTTTGCATTATAGATATTAGCCTAATGAAAGCTCTAGAATATCAAACATTTAGTGCTAGCTTCTATATGTGCATAATCCCTGTAGTAAAAACTACAATCGATAAAAGCATCAATGGTGTATTTAATTATAGCAAAACACACTAGGGCTATCTGCCTAAGGGGAGGGATGCCTTCGTGGAGGACTTTCTAAGGGAAACTGGCTCGTATACACGTTACACATGGGGAAAACCTCGAAAACACCCATGCAGCCAGCCCGTTCGCGGGATTCGAACCTCGGACCGAACTACCAGTAAAAGCATCAATGAATAGTTAATTAAATTTCTTACATATAAATAAAAACTAATAAAATAAACAAAATGAAATCAGCCATAATATTTGTCTTCAGCTTCATGAATAATAAACTGGAGTCAAATATAGTAACTTCAGCTTAACCTGTCAGGCATGAAGCTGAAGTCAAATATTATTATGACTGATTCAAATATTATGATTAAGTCAAATGCGGCAACTTCAGATTATTATTCATTGATTTATTGAAGTGTAAATGTATAATCACTAAATTTGTGAATATTTATTACTTTAAGTGTCAATATATAGTAAATGAGATCTGAATATTTATTAATTAAAAATCAATGTATAGTAAATTAAACGTTTTGAATATTTATTACTTAAATGTCTTGTATAATATCAATATATAATATCTTAAAACTTTTGAATTTTTATTATTTAACTATCAAAACATACTAAGTTGATCTTTTGAATATATATTATTTCAGTGTCTAAACCTTTGGGATATTTACCGCTTAAGAGACAAAAGTATACCTTCGTATACTTCTGGATATTTATTATCTAAATATCAATATAAATTTATTAATAATAAATTTATTTAATAATAAATTTAATAATAAATTTAAGACTTTCAAAATTTATTGATATAATCACAGCAGTATAATGTTTTTGTGAAGCTGTGAAATTGTAATGTGTTATTATATATATATATATCGTAGTTCAAAATCTATCCATATATATATATATATATATGTACTGTAATAAAAGTCCTTATTTTCGCAAACATTGCTGGTAGACACATTTCTCCAATTACAAAAATGTTTTAAATGACGCAAAAACGTATTCTAGCATTTTCAAATTTAAAAAATACAGTTTTGTAAAAATTACGAGATATAGCTTTTTATACATTCTTCCAGTCTTTATATTTAGCAATATGCTACACACATTATAAGAAATAAAGTACGATGTGACTCCAGTACGACAAATTTGGCAGTTATCTTTCATTTCATATTTAATGTTCTAGAAAACATAGGTAAGATTCAGTACTGGACTATAGTCAACCCGTAACATTATTTGAAATAAATTAAAAAGTAAAAATATTTTAAGTTAACGAACTTCTGCATAAGTATCAGATCTTGAAAAGTATTAAAACTTCATGGGAATATTAATAGCACAATTGTGTTTGAAAGCTTATAAATTACTCACATAAAAATTCTTTCATTATATCAGTGCATCAGAATTATAAATTAAAGATTGTTATACATTAGTAAATTGTAAAAGGATGTCTTTGAATAACATTTAAGAAGAAAAATTAAAAGATTCTTAAGGCAAATCGAAGATGATGTAAAAAATCCTAAAATTTGAAATTAAACATCTCGGTTAATTTTTGTTGTATGGGAGTTCAGTGTTTCTTGTTTTATTTTTTTATATAATGAGTGTAAAATATCTATAAAGAACGTATAAATTTTAGATTTCGTAATTTTTATAAAAATGATTTTTCTTAAATGCCAAAACGTAAATTAGTATCATTTAAAACATTTTTGTACTTGTAAATATACGCCCATAAAATTCTTATTCAGTTCTCAGTTCCAAAACCTTTGATCGAAGACGTATACTTCCACTTACAAAAGTGTTTTCAATGTCGCAAAGATTCATATTTTTTTTTAATTTTAAATTTAAAAAAATTACTTTTGTATAAAATGCGAAATCTAAAATTTTATATATTACAACGGTACCTATAATTAGAAAATATGGTGCTTACGATAAAAAACAAAACACCAAAAGTTTCTAGAAGCATTAGGGTTTTTTTTTTTGGAAGCTGAAGATATAAAAAATGAGAAATGCCCTCTCTGCGGCTCGAACCACGGACCTCTCGAATACGCGCCGAGTGTTCTGACTACTACACCACGAAAGCATTCTAAGCAGGCGGGAGAAATAATTCCACGTACTCTCCCGGTGCTAGAGAATCATCATCCACCAACGGTTTCAGTTCGGGCGCCACTGTAGAGTCATTAGGTTGTTTTGAAGCAACAGATGTGAAAAATGAGCTATGCCCTCACGGGTACTCGAACCTCGGACCTCTCGAATACGCGCCTAGTGTGCTAACCACTACACCACGAAGGCATGATAAGAAGGGGGGAAATACTTTGGATACTCCCCCATTTAAGTGGTGACTGGGAATTAGGAGACCTAATCGCCAAATCCTGGTGGTAGAGAATCATCATTCACCATCTTTTTTAGTTCAGGCGCGACTGTAGAGTCATTAGGATATTTTTGAAGGCATGAGAAATGAACAATATCCTCACCGGGACTCGAACCATGGATGTCTCGAATACACACCAAATGTGCTTCTACTTACACTACGAAGGCGATCTTATATACTCCCCTTCTTAAAGGGCGACTGGGGATTAGGAGACTCTGTCGCCAAATCCTGGTGGTGGGGAATCATCATCCACCACACTTTTTTGTTCGGGAGCCACTGTAGAGACAAAGTTATTTCGAAGCAGGAGAGATGAATAATGAATAGTGCCCTCACCAAGACTCGAATCACGGACCTCTCGAATACGCGTCGAGTGTACTGGCCATTACACCACGAAGGCATGCTAAAAAGTTGGGAGAAACACCTTATACGTTTGACTCCCGTATGACAAAAATTGACTAAGATATTTAATTTCAAAATTTACGATTTTGACGTCACATTCCATTTGCATAGAGTGGTCGGTGAATAAAAAATTAGAATAATTCGAAGTTGATTATTTACCTTAATGCCAGTCAATGATATTCTTTTGTGACATACTAGTGCCTTTGGTTTATAATTCTATAATATTTAATATACTGAAAGAATTTTCACACGGGTAATTAGTCAAACTTCAGATGCTAGAAACACGTAATGATTATTCTCATGCAGAATTATTAATTATTAGTATCATAATTATTTACTATTAGTATCGTAATATGATAATCATGTAAGCAATTATTAAACTAGAAACATATTTTATTTTCATTTAATGCAATTAATGTTACTAGAAGTCTATGTGCCAGTACTGAAGCCTGCCAATATTTCCTAGAACGTTATATTCTAAAGGAATTATATAAGATTCTGTGAATAAGATCTCCATTAAAAAAAAAATATATATATTGGCTATTAAAATTGCTCTTCATTTTGTCTATTAAAACAGAATTCTTTTCTCTAAACTCATATTTTATTTTTAGTACACACATTTTACTCCCCATTTTATGTATGGTCCCTGAATGTAATCTGCAATTTTAATATTGATTATATCGGTCAATTTTGTGGTACAGAAGTCATTTTTTGTATTTTAATGTAATTTTTTAATTTAATGTAATTTTAATTTAATATTAATGTAATTTTAATAATTATTAATGTAATTTTAATAATTTTAATTTTAATTAATTTTTATGTAATTTTACTCTCCATTTTATGTATGGTCCCTGAATGTAATCTGCAATTTTAATATCGATTATATCGGTCAATTTTGTGGTACAGAAGTAATTTTTTGTATTTTAATGTAATTTGTTATTTACCAAAATTAACTCTTTAAATTTTAAAATATTAAAATGCGAATTTTTGTGTTGTTTATAACATTTTTGTAGCTGGATATATATATTTATGATCAATGGTTACGAAAATAAAGGCAGGGTAAATACCTTTTGGACTGGATGTACATATTTGTTTTTTCATACACATACATATATATAATTGGTAGCATTGGATGATTGAGTATAATAATATAAAACATTCATATAAGCATAGAAACGTTTTTCGGCTGCTATACTTGGTATATATTTCTTCATATATTATCTGTTATGCCATTGTTATTATGATGGAAAACTTGTTACATTGTTTCCAAAGACATGCTATGGCGCGTCGCAAATCTCTGGAGCTTGCTCCAGAATCGCAGAATAAATCCGTTAAAAGGGATTATGTGAGAATTGCGGTATTCTATTCCACTCTATTCTATTCTGAGAACTTACCGTGGTTCTGAGGAAGGGTTGAAAGGAATTCGATCCTTACTCCAGCTGACAGAAATGGGTTTCTCACCGAAGGCTCGACAGGTAAGCTTTGCACTTTCACCTCTGTTCACAGTTAAAGCTTTGAATTTCTCAGTAAAATGTGCACCCTCTGAAAAATGCAATAACTTTTATAAATACATGTTTCTTCATATAGTACCTCTTATATCATTGTTATTATGATGGAAAGGTACATAGCTAATTCAGTTGTTTCATAAAGAATATGTATGATTACTTAATTTCATTTTAAACATAATCTATTACTTTATAAAAGTATTTTAATATTGAAAAAATAATTTAGCGGTATGGTTGCAAGTAATTATATGTATCAAAATTTAATTAATATTATAATGAATTTGTATTTTGATAGAAATATTTTTTCTGTTGATTTGAAAGAGCTGTCAGAGTTGGAATATTATTTGTAAAATTTGCATCAAAAATATGTTTGTTAGACGATTGCTTAAACAGTTTTTCAATATTCATACAATTAATAAAAGCGTTCTGAATACTGAATATCGAAAAGACTTTAATATAATTCAAGCCAGGAAACGGCGTTTTAAATGAAAATTATGAAATATTTTTGCAAATTCAAATAAATTTGTCTGCGATAGATATAGGTATCATAGTATGCCTATTTAAAAATAATACAAATATTTTATACGTAAAAACATTTATTTATCCAACATTAGTTTTGAATTTAGTGATAGATATTACTTATATTTATATTTTATCATTGCAAAAATTACGATGTGAGACAATTTTTATTCTAAATACTGTGAGAATATCTGTAAAATATCAAAGAATACTTTTATTTTAACATTGCAGGTTTAGTCTTCAGTTTAGTGACCAATGGTGACAATTTTCTTGAATTAACATTTTAAAATTTATCTAGTTTCAGTTTAAATCATCTTTCATTCACAATTTGAATTCAGTTTTGCAGCTGTTAAGTTGACTCGCCGATAAAAATACTTATAAAGTATAAAAAATCCTTGAAAATTAATAATATATGTGGTACTATTATAAGTGAATTACAAAAATTAATTTTGCATCAAGAAGGCCTTATAAAGAAAACACTGCATATGAGTGGCTATCCATTTAATCAAAATCAAATTTCAGTTATTCTTTTCCCAATTCTCAAAAATATTATACGGATTTTCATTTTTAATGAAATTTTTCTCATTCTTTACCTTTGGCTAATGTACTTTCAATATCTTCGGCCTAGAATTTAATGGCCAAATCAATCTTAGTAAGCTCAGTGTCTGCTGGATGTAGAGCTCCAGATGAATGAATTTGAAACAATACTACTTCAACATTGAACTTTTTCTTAAGATTTCTCATTTTTTAAAAATATTTTTATTTCACTCGAAAGCAGTGCAACTTCTAAGGGTGACTAACTGCCTGAATAAATCCGCTTTGTTTGAATTTACCTCTACTGTGTCGACAGTTATCGCCTTTGCTAAACTCAAAATATGAACAAAAGACAAAGCCTAGAAATGTAAAAGCGAATTTAAAACTTTTATTTTATCACAGCCGGGGAGTTTACAATTAAGCACAAAATTAAAATCTTCTTGACACAGCAGCTTGCTGAAACGTATAATTACGATACATTAACTGCTTTTAGAAAATCTACATGAAGCTTCAACCTAACTGGGTCTTCAGACAAACTAAACTGACTAAGTTAAAATAACAGACCGAATAACGATTATTAGAGGTACTAAGCCAATAAGAATCAGCGAAATATTTACATATTTGCAAAATTAGTTTCAAAGGCTTAAATACAGAACATTCTTCTTCAGATACAGAATTGCAAATGACAGCTGACGCCACCACTTCTGCAGATGAAAACGAAGGTGCTATATTTGAGCCTTTGAAACAAGTCCTGCAGATTTATGAATCTTATGCTGATTCTTGCTGCTTTAACTTTTCTAATAAAACTAACTACTTTAGAACGCTTACTAAACGCGCCAATATCAGGCATTTGCTCTGATGTACGACGAGTCATGACAGTTAAAATGTTTCTTCTCATTTGAAACTACGCTGCTTGTCATAAATTCTGCACAGCTCTCTGGACTGAGATGGTATGTAACGAAATAAGAAGTACAAGAAAAAATCTATATAAGTATTAATCAACTAAAATGAAATGTCATAGTGGTAGCAAGATAAATGATAATAAGACATAGTTAAACTTGCAGTTGTTAGAAATTTCACATTGCATAGATAGGTTCAAAAATGCAACAAGAGCATCCAGTTACTTTTATTATACTAGATTTAATTTTCATCAGTATATCCAGTGGAACAAAGTAACAAAAACTCTGATCATTTTTGGAAGGAGAACATAAGCACTGAAAGAGACAAAGTGGACTTTTTCCCCCTAGGGCATGGATTCTTATCTGTGAATTTAACGTTGCTTTCCCCATCTCTTTTGAGAAAACAAAAGGAATTCGTTTTGTCTTCCTCTGATATATTGCTGACGTAATTAAAATTTTTTCCTTATCCTTTGATTCAATGAATTGCTTTTTTATTCAGACTGTTATTTTTTTTCTATCTTTTCCTATGAGGGAACTAAAAAAAGGTTTCAACGGAGAAACAAGACTGTTCTTAGAATATTTCTCTGACATTTAAACCTTCTTAAACTAAATATTAATTGGATTTCTTTTGTACTGCATGGCAGCAATTTAATTAATAAACTAACGCTTTGTTAAAAATATGAAACATATGAAGAACTTAAAGTTAATTTAACAAAAATATATTATTGCATTAGGAAGACAACTGAAAAAAGTGTAATAAGGCTTTGCTAATCATATTTTAAAAAATAATGCTAAGATGCGGCATTCTTTATTCTTACGATGTATATTTTCTTTCCAAGAAAACCGAGAATAACAAACCATTTCTCATACAAATACTTATTAATATTTTGAAGGGTTTTGCATTATGTTTGAACTTATGCAGTAGTTTTTTTTTAGTTTAACATTGATAGCTGTACAAAATTTAACTTCTCCATAAACTTTGCAAAGAGAAATGCGCGATATTAATATAGTGACACTGAAAGGTTGTTTGCTAAAAACAGATGGGGAAATGATGTTAATTTGAAAGAGAACGAAAATTAGAAATGAGATTTATATAATATGAATACTATTGGCGGTTGCTATAGGCTTGATCGTATGACATTTCTATTTCCTGACTATATTTCCTATATTCTCTTATCTCTTATTATTATAGTCTCTTATTTCCTATATTCCTTTATTATATTATTTTCCTATTTAAACTGAACTAATACTAAAATGTTGCATGATAGCATAAATAAAGGTTGTTGTAAATGATGTTGTAAATATTTGTAAGTCTTTAAATACGTTTTGATTGCATTCTTGTTTTCCGGTGTTATTACAGCATTGTGTATTGTTTTACTTTCTTATTTATTTACTTGTTGTCCTCGAAACGATGATTTTTGTTTTTATTTTTGTTTAACTGAATTTGTGGCCACTTGTTTTGTACTTAAATGTTTGTCTTATAAGGTATTTTTTCCGTCTTCTCAGCATGCCTTCGTGGTGTAATGGTCAGCACTCTTGACGCGAATTCGAGAGGTCCGTGGTTCGAGTCTCGGCGAGGACATTGCTCATATTTCATCTTTTTTTGCTTTAAAAAAATCCTAATGATTCTATATTCTTACACAAAATCGTAGATTCTCCAATTCTGAGTGCAACCCCGCTTGAACTGTAAGACCTCGGTGGCATTTCTTGTCAGTAAATTCACAATATTTGGTAATTTTTTGCCAACTTTACGACTTCTTGGAAGACTCGAAAAAACACATTTTCAATCACTGTCAACAGTTACAACAGTTCTGCTTATACACCGTGCCCAAAAATTTTGTATCCGGCTTTTATTTTCGCAAGCGTTTATTGTAGGCTTACTAGGCTTCAAATTATATTTAATGTTTTAAATGGTGAAAAATCTTTAAATAATCGATCTTTAAATTTAAAACCAAAAAACACTATAAAATACAAAATTTATTTTTTTATGTATACCTTCGGTCTCTATACATATATTTAGGAAAATATTGTAATCTTTGCAAAAAATAATATACAAAAGTTTGACTCCTGTACAACAAAAATTTACGTAGATATATCATATTATATCATATATATAGCGATATTATATAAAGTTATCAGACATTATATTAAGTGTCTTACACAAACTGAAAAGCGAAATGTTTGCATTTGTATCCAACTGAAAATAAAATATCATTTAAAAATATTCATCAATATAATTTTGTTTTTTAAAATATAGAGCTTAGTCACAGTATATTACAGAATTAATTTTCTAGAACATACTGGTAAGCTTTAGTATTGGCACGTAGGCAACTCTTATTCCTCTTAACTTCATTAAAACACATTTTTATACTTTGAACGTTTATAGATTACTTCTGTGAAAATTCTTTTGGTACATCAAATGTAACAAAATATAAGTTAAAGACAATAAAGCACAAGAAATATTATTGAATAGATTTAAAGGGGGGGAGTTTGAATTATTCTAATTTATTTGTTAAAATCCCCTCAGTGGAAACTGAACATGACATTAAAAACTACAAATTTTGAAATTAAATATAAATTTTTTTTGTCGCGCGGTGTTTTATTTATTATATCAAATACAAAAGCTTTCTAAGTATAAGTATAGAGACACTAGGTAAGTGTAAAATTTAAATTTCGTACTTCATACAAAATTAATTTCCTTAAAAACTTTAAAAATACTAGAACTTGAATCTTTGGGTTATTTAAAATATTTTTGCGTATAGAAATACATGTCCACGACCAACGTTCATGAAAATAAAGGCCCATTAATAACTTTTGTGTGCACCGTCTACAAGGCGGTCACAGCAGATGATGAAAAAGCAGTACGTTATGATTGACAGTAATTAGGTAATTTTTTTTTCTAACAAATCCCTGCCCAGAATGATTGATATGATGGCATATTTACTCAGTATCTGTTAATGCAGTTGTGTTTATCTGGTTTTTTTGGGTTATTGTGAGTTTTAAATCTGAATATAGTATGACAATGATGTTTGCCATAGTTAATGCGTAAAATGAAATCCATTATTGTAGTTAGGACCTGAAATTCTCATTTTTTCTTAAAATAAGGTAGAAACAATGTTGTTAAAAAATTATGTAAATATTTTTTTATGTTTAGCATACATTTGTTTTCTTTACTTTTGGTTATGGATATTTATTTTATGTTTTGCATACTTTATGTATATACTACGCATTTGTTATGAAATTATTTAGTTTCAACACATAATTCATTGCACATAGTTTAAGTAAACCTTGAAATAATGCTTGGCAGAAAAGATTTAGGATTCGAAAAATCAAATTTTTATATTTTTCTTATCATCTGAAAATTTCTTATCCTAACTTAATACGTCTTAAAAGTAAAGTGAAAAACTTTTAGAAGATTTCTTTTATTTATCGGTAGAGAGGGCAGCAAGCTAGTTGTCATATTGCTGGTCTTGGGTTGGAAACCTGGAGACAATGCAGATATCAGTGGGTATGATATCAAACGTCTCCTGTGGTGCACCCTGAGCACCCTTAAACGTCAAGAGAAATGTTCATTAGAAAAATACGCGTTTATTGTAAGTTTAGCTGTACCTACATCACCAGATTATTTTAGGTATCATACTGCAAATATACTTTTATAAAGTTTCAGACTGCTTTAATTTTCTAGAAAGAATTTAACGTTCCATGTGTGATATTTATCTATGTTTACTGTGGAAATAATTCTCATCTCTCCTCTGCATATGCTTTAGTTTAAAGTGAATATAAAAAACTTAACTAATATTCAATTAGTATTGCTCCTGATTATGTTAAAAAACTAACATTAAGTTTCAAGAATTTCAATCATGTATTGCATTTACTAAATTACTAAATTTACTACAATATCATTCGAATCATCTTAATAAATATTGATATATTTTAAATACTGTATTCTTAAATTATTGTTTTCCATTAAAAGTAATTTTTAAATTTTACTTTAATTGAATAACTGAATCTTTTAATACTAACTAAAGATTTTTTATCCTTTTTCTTCAGATATATGAAAACTCTTTTAGGAGTGAGATTTTCAAAAGCGCTGTATTTGTTCCGCTTTTGCAGATTCACGAATTAATCAATACTTGCTCCAGTAATGGGGCATTTTGAAAAAAAAAAAAAAAAAACCCTGGCATTTGTATTCTGCAAAACACATTTGATACAGTTGACTCCACTGAATGAAAAGATTCTGCGGAACAATACACGTACCGTGCACTTCCAAATGGACTACTTTACTTAGTCCAGATCCTACGTCATTCGTTGCTTGACACAAGTAGTCTCCACTGTCCTCTTTTGAAGCCTCTTTGATGATGAGAGAGCCATTCTCCAAGATCTGGACATTTTCATTGCTAATGATCACTTGAAACTGACTCTTTGTACCAGCTGAAAAGATAAAGAGACATTTCATTGCGACTCCAAAAGCATTTCAAACTCTCAAAGGAATGTTATTCATCCTTTAATATGTTTGCTTTCATGATATTCAAAACTTGGCAGTCATTTAAATATTTATACTCATGCATTCAAAATAGAAAGTGTTTGAGAAAATAAATTACCAATTGAAGAAGGTATAAAATTAGAATGAGAGAATAATATCGCAATTAATTTTAAGGGCATTTCATAATAAGGAAGTATACTATCAAACGTATCAAGCACTTAAACTTTTAGTAGTATCTTCTTAAAGAAAGAGAGATTTGATTCTAGCAAGTACAGGTATATCCTACATTTTACTCGTCCATTTCCATTACTTTGATTAATTAGAATAATGGAATAACTCATAAATTTACACTTCTAATATGTAACTCTTTTCGTATACTTACAAGCAAATGACTGCTTTTGTATTCAGCTTTTGTATTTTGTATTCAATGTCAAAATTTTGTAGTCAGTTTGGATAGCAATTCACAGCCCCCCAACCAGGATAATGGTCAGCGAAAGTCCCAGGTTAGAATCCTGAAGAAGGCATGGATGTTTGTAAATGTACAGTATCTGTGCAGTATAGGGCTACTCTAAATATACGGCGAGCCGAAAGTCTTCTCGAGAGGTTGTGTTAGGAAAAGAGGGTGTTGTGACAGTCTCTCCGAGGTATTCTCCATCACAATTGGAGGCGGATCTGAACAACTGGCACCTCTGGTGGTGATAGTGGTCACTTGTGGTGGTGATTGATCACCTGTGGTGTGATCACTAGCTCATTGGTGCTCAAGGCTCTTGCCAACGACAGACGCAATCTTGACCTCCTGTGACGATGAATTTTGTGGGCTTGTTCTGATATCGGAGACCTGATCTGATGTCACTGTCGATCGGATGGGATAAGCCATAAACAAACAATTAAATCAGAAATTCACAGAAACGCATTAAAAATTTAAATAAGTTCGAAGCTGCTTAAATCTTTCCCAGTATAATGAGCGGTTTTAAAAGGTATTTTCTCTCTCCTTTTCGCATGCCCTCGTAGTGTAATTGAAAACATTCTCGACGCGTATTCGAGAGAGGCAGCGTTCGAATCCCGGCCAGGGAATTGCGCATTTTTCATGTCTTCTGCTTCAAGGAAAGAAAAAGCTAATGACTCTACAATTTAAGTCTTGTAAATGGTCAAGTGGTCAAACTAATGTGGCTCAACTGAGAAATCGCTGATGGTTGCAATATTTCAATTAAATCACAATCATTACTTTTGACTAAGAATTTAAAAATGCATGGAAATGCTAAAACATATGCTCCCCGCCTCCTAACTCAGCATAAAGACAATTGCAGTATAATTTGTCAGGAACGGGTTAAGATCCTAGTAAATGAGGTTGAAAATTTCATGCAGAGAATAACTAGTATTGATGAGAAGTAAATTTATGCTTTGGATCTGACACAAAAATTCAGTTGTCATAAAAGGTACCGAAAAAGATTGTCCAAGGCCCTACACGTAAGATGGAACTTTGGAAATTATGCTGATTTTTTTTAAACGTTGAGTTTATCATCCACTATAAATTTTTAACAGATGTACATATAGTAAATTGCTGGTATTATCATGAAGCCTTCAGATCACTAAGAGAAAACATTCACAAAAAAAGAACTGAACAGCGGACAAACAAATTATAGTTTCACTATCATGATAACGCACCCACACAGGCATTTTTCTTAACATTTTTATTTCACCTCTCTACTTTCCTAATCTTTCTAGGACCACCAGCGGCCGATTGGGCTATTCAAACACTTGTAGTTCTGTCGAGTGTTTGAGCCCGGCCAATCGCTTAACACTGTTACTTTGGTCAAAGGTTTGAATCCCAAGAACGGGCTGATTGCATAGGCGTTTTAGTGGTTTTCCCCATGTGTAATGTGCACTCGAGCCAGTTTCCCTTAGACATCCCCCCCACAAAGGCATCCTCTTTTATGCAGATAGCCCTCGAGGGCTTTATCATAATGAAATAAACCAATCCGAAACTTATCTTTCTTTAGCAGACGAAGGTAAACCTCTAAGAATGATCCACGAGGCAAAAAATATCACTAAAATGATTAACTATGCGTAATTTCGAAAGCAACTTACTAAGACTGGCTTTATCACATACAGAGAAGCTCTACGCTATCATAATAATTTCCGAGATAGGCGTTTCTGTCAGCACTTGTTTGAATGGAAGGTTTCTAGACGAAACAGAGTTGCTTAACGATATGTTGCACGTAATTGCCTGCAACATTTTACGAGGTTGTTAAAATGGTTCTCCTGCAGCTTTGTCTCATTTAGGAGAGAAAAGAGCAAACATATACTTCTGAGAGGCCTTCCTTCATTTTGCACAGGTAAACCAATCATATTTCCTGGAAACGAAGAAGAAAGAAGAATAGAAATCTCTCTTTCGACCCGCAATTGAGGTTAGTATGCCGATCTAATAGCGGTTTTACTTAGTTCCAAAAACGCCTCTAAGAATGATGCGTTAGTTAAAAGAGGAGAATAATTCCATGGTGACAAAGTTGAATAATTTGAAAATCCGCGCAAAAGATATTAAACATAATGACTTAAACAGAATTCATACAGTGTATTATTTACACACTTAGGAGACTAAAATACACATTGTTGTGCAAAAATAAAAGAATATGCAAATTTTGCCTAATTTTACGAAACGCGTAAGTGCAGCCGAAGAGTTATGCAAATATTCAGAGTCGAATACGTAAGCGTACATGTGCGTGTCTGCGAAATTGCGGTTCCTGAGCGGATATAAGTCCACGAGTGGTTTTCGCCGATTTGTGTGCTCATACTCCTTCACAACATTCGCCGTTTTTCTTGCAAAAGTTGGGTAAATTTTATAACGTATCAAGTAAAATGGTTAGGCGCAAACGTTTGGATGACGGAGTGACATGAAGAATTGTCGGTAGATTGGAGGCAGCCCAATCACAAGCGCAGGTGGCTACAGAACTCAACGACCAGTGTCTTCTGCAATTTATGGAAACAGTTTCAGGACTCTGAAGAAGATCAACCAAGATCCAGAACTACAAATGAGGATCATTATTCTGCACTTTCAGCTTGGAGACACAGGAATACTACAGTTTCACATCTTTCACGTGAGCTTTATGCTGCCACTGGAATCCGAGTTTTACGATCTACAGTTACCCAAATGCTTTTCGAGACAGTTCTGTATGCCAGAAGACCTGCTTTTTGCATCCTGCTAACTGAAGCACCGAAAAGATCGTGTTTAGAATGGTTTAAACGATATGCACTTTGGACCAGACTTCCGTAGATTCCCCTGCTTTTTAAAGATGAATCGAATTCAGCCTGGACACTATATCTGGAGAGAGCCTGGAACACGATGCCATCCCTCTCCTGATCAGAAAGAAGAATATTTACGGTGGTGAAGGTGTAAAGTTTAGAAAAGACATTACGTTGGACGGCCGCACACGCTTGCATGAGTTTGACAAAGGCTTCTTGACTGTTATGAGATATAGAGAGGAGATCTTTTAACAGGCTCGCAGTTTGTCCTGGGTTCCTGTTAATAGACGACAACATTCGTCGACACAGTTATTAGCTGGTCGATACATACGGTAAAAAGCCGCATAGATTGGCCAGCCAGATCTTCTGACCTTAAACATGTCTGAGACGCTCTTGGCAGGTTAATTTAATTTCGTCATCTCCCTCCGAGAATCATTGCGGAGTTGAAAACTGCTTTGCTGCAGGAGTGGGATCGCCTGCCACAGGGATTCTCCAACCGACTTTTGTCCAGTATGCCGTGACCCTGCTCGACCTTCCTGGATGTGAGAAGGGACCATACCACATATTAGACTAATTTTCATGTCGATATCACAATAAGAATTTTGAAAAACTCTGCACTATACCGTTAATCATGCAAACGTAAAATGACTTTTGAGTAGCACATCTCTTTTTCTGTTACATATGTATAGTCATACAAAATTTCATCAAAATCTATCTATTAGTGTATAAGGTAATTCTCCCACTTTCCTAGCGTCCTTCGTGGTGTAGTGGTTCTGCACGCTCGGTCGGTATTCCAGAGGTCCGTGGTTCGATTCCCGGCGAAGCGGTTGTTAATTTTTCATCTTTCCTGCTTTCAAAAAAATATCTAATGTCTCTACAAGTGTTTCAGAAATTTAACGTAAAGCATAGATTCCCTTAATTTTGCACGTGAATGTAGACGTGAATTCCTCAGCTGAGGGAAGACGGAGTTCCAAGTAAAAAGAATATCAGGTTTTGATGCAACTCTGGTCTATAGAACAATTGGGGATTCCTGCGTGAAGACCTTCTATACTAAATTTAGGTGCTGTGAGACACTAGCACTCAGCGTCACTAGAAGACGTGGAAACTTTCCTGAATACGTAAATTTAATGCTGAGATTATTTAGAAGAGCGAAGGTACGCTTCTTTTCTGAAAGTATTAAAAGTAAAATTTAATTTTACTGCTTGTTATTAGAAATGAATTCGCAATGCCCCTAACTGCAACCTGGGGAAATTTCTTTGTATGCACTAAGTTTGTAAATGTTTGGTTCAAAATACATTTAACTTCTTTGGTTTTTCAAATTTTGCTTCATTCGAATTGTTTTATGTCAAAAGTAAAAATTCACTAAAAACAGAATGCGAGAGTCAAAATATGAAGCCTTTTCAGTACGTATTAAAATTTTAGGTTCACGGAAAGAGAAGCTATAATTAACCCCTAGCTTAAGAGTCAGCTTCTAGTATTTATTCTTTGTTTCCTCATTAAGATTGATTATTTATTTCCTGAATAATGAATGAATTCAATGCATATATTAGCAACCATAAAAAGCTTTTCTAGCTTGCAATCAAGAATAATTAACCCAAAGATTGACATGCTTTGACCATTTGAGCGCAATTTTGTACAAACCTTCCTTCTTTTTCATGTTAGCCTCGCATTATTTTCGGTTTAATTTATTCCCTTTTCCAGTCTGCTT